GGGAGGAATTAGTTGAATCTTTTCTTTCTGAATCGAATGGTGGTATTTCTGTCTTCATAGCATGCACTGAACCGAAGATATTAAATATCTTGCAATCGATCAGTGCTGATCGACGCAACTGGGACGTGGTGGAAAAGAGTTTTGCCAGTTATGAAATTAATACATATACAAGGGCAATTTTTAAGTTTTTCTATTAAATTAAATTATTAAGTCGTTTTAAGTGATCTTTAGACTTTACAATGCAACCATAAACCTTTGGGGTGAAATTTCGTATCATATATAGGCACCTATACTTAACCAAAGTTTAGTAAATGAGGCATATATAGCCATAGGCTATTGCCGAGACCAAGCTAATTACTCGGCAAAACTAGACCTCAAAGATAATAAAAATCAGCACATGAAACAAGCCCTAATAACAATACGCATGCCTGCCAAATGCCAAGCATTTCATAAATAAACAATAATTACAAAATGATAATTACGAAAGAAACTGGATAAGAACGTCTAACAAGAACGTCTTTTATTTTCCAAACAAAATCTTCCAAACTGTTCATGTATTTGACATTTCTCAACGCATTTCAAGGTGGTTAATTTATTTTCAACTATTTGTAATTTATAATCCATTTCCCAATAAAAAATGTCAGTAACCATTCATTCACAATACAGTTTTCTTCACCCCTGACAACCTAGATTAATACAGATCGTTGACTTTTGCGCGTGTGCCGTTTGGAAATGCGGCTTTTAAACACATTAAACTCTCATTGATTGCTATAGGCGATGCTCTCGAGTATTGCTAACAATATCGGTCAATATTAAAAATAATTATACAGCAACACTAATACTACGGAATATCAATGCAACTAGCATAGTTCATGTAGGTTAATGTATAGTGATGACTCGGCTGGGTCTCAAAAATTGATCATCCGGAAATTCCAGCAGAGCTAAGGTAGGCATATTTTGTTCGCTGTCGAGTCAATGAAATATTTAGCCAGCTGGTTTAATTCGTATGTGTATTAAATAGACTTGGCTAGTTAGTTGAAGATAATTGAATTTAGGTTAATTTGATCCTATGAATGTCAACAAACTCAAAACCGCAAAGCTATACTCTTCCTCTAAAGGCGAAAAGTGAAGATTTTACAAGGACGCATACCGCGAATTGAAGTAATGTCTAGATTATATGTGGACATTACATTGCTTTGCATCGGGAAACGTCTGTGTTCGAAATACAATCAGCGAAGCTGAATCACATATATAGTACATTGCATGTTTCTTTCTTAATACTTCTATTTGATGGTTTTAATTAATGAATCATTTCGACGTTTCGCGGAGCGAAGGCCTAAAGTGTTAAAAAGATGTCAGGGATAGCTGCCTTATAACATATACTTAACCGGGGGTGACTGTGGGGGGGGTTGACGAGTTCATAAATTTCTGGTGAAGGACAGTGTGAGTTAGCATGCCATGCAACTATACCAGAAACACTTTTTTGTGATTGTGAGACAGACTACATAAAATTAAAATCATTATGTCACTACCGTTTTTGAGATTGATCTTCTGTTAAAGTTACTCTCAGGGAATAGCGTTTATAACCTAATTGTTAGAGAATCAAAATTGCCCTAGAATTTTCCCGCGCTCGGTAAATCTAAAATATCCTTGACCGTGTTAATACGATACCTTTAACGGATGCATGAATACCTAGGAAATATCCCATACGAATACCGCATGACAAAAGCCTTTCCTGGAAACGTCAAGTGGGTGTTTTTTTAAACCTTTTCAGCATATCAAGAATCAATATTCACGCGGTTCCTATCCTATACATGCAACTGAAAAGCTGAGCCCTTATGGACTTGTTTCATTTATAGGCCTATATTTCTGAAGTTTACTCTTGAAACCTTACTTTGTCATTGTTTAGTTTCGCGGAGGACTGCGGTTCCCTTATGGATAAGCGTGCTTGGTATAAAAACAAGAAAGGGTTTTTCTACATTTTTGTCCTTTTCCAAACTGGCGTAATCCTATTTACAGCAACCTACGTTGTTTTATTTGTCCGCAATACAAGAAATGGCAAGAGTGTAGGTTCAGACAATGGTTATCGTCGGTATTATGATTTGAAAAGCGAAAATAGACGTAAGACGTACGAAGGGAAAGCGTTCAATATTCTATTTAGGCCAAAGGGAAGAATTATTAATAGTTATAAAGGAGGAAACAGCAAGACTAGCTCAAATGGGAGAAATCAAAGTGATATTAAGAACTACCAGCTTAAAAACAAGGACGACAAAATCAACAAGAATAACGACAAGAGCAGCAACAGTAAAAAGTACATCAACATGAGAAGCAAGAAGAAAAGTAGTAAGAACAAAAAGAACAACAGCAAAAGAAATAACAACAACAACAACAACAACAACAACAACAACAACAACAACATTCACCAAACCTCCCTCACAGAACCAACTCTACCCAACCAAAGAAAAGCCATCTTAATGTTTATCGCCATTATGAGCGCACCTGTAAGAATACACCGTAGAAATGCTTTAAGAAGAAGCTGGTTACGACAGTGTCAAAATCACAATACTTCATGTCACATCTTCACTGATGGTTTAGACATGAACGGAAAACGACTGCCTGATGAAATTTTGGTTGCTTTGAAACAGGAGCAGTTTCTTCACAAAGATATGATCCTAGTCGAAAGCCCTGGCGGTATTAATTTTGCAAGACGGTATCTTTGGATCATTAACTGGGCGAATAGAAACTACAAGTTTGATTTCTTACTGAGAGTGGATGATGACTATTTCATCTGCATGGATAGATTATTTTTGGAATTGCCGCAAAGGAAAATGATCAGGAAACTTTATTGGGGACACGTTCATTGTTATCCACCAGGCAAGTTTTGATATAGTTTAAACACTGGCTTGCTTTGTTGTAAGAGGATGCGCAAAGTGGACTGAATATGAAATTATCTTTTGTTTATTCACCTTGAGTTTGTTAGCCATATTTTGTTAGCTATAGTTTGTTTAGTGACCCAGGGGCCGCGTTATTCTCAATTTTTTAAAACTATTTTAAAAAGAGTGAGACGAATAGTAAATGTTATATGCTACCATTAAGCTACCATGCATATACATTTAATTAAAACGGGTTAATTTTTTCGGGTTGTTATATAGAGAGGCAGAAAAGGCCAAAGGGGTTCCGCGCGAGAAAGATGCCACGGGTCCCGCACTGAGTTTACGCGGCCCTGTAGTGACCTGAGTAATTTGCTAGTTGGTTTTTAGTTAGTTTAACAGTTAGCTAGTTTGTTAATTAGTGGGGTCGTCTAGTAATTAGTTAACTAGTTACTTATTTACTTACTTAGTTAATTAGGTAATTCGTAAATTCGGTAGTTAATGAGTTAGTTAATCAATTTTTTGTTGGTTAGTTAGTTTGTTAATTAATTAATTAGTTAGTTAGTTAATAGTTAGTTAGTTATTAGTTAGTTAGTTAGTTAGTTAGTTAGCCAGTTAATTAGTTAATTAGTCAGTTAGTTAGTAATTAGTTAGTTAGTCAGTTAGTTAGCCAGTTAATTAGTTAGTTAACTAGTTAGTTAGTTAGTTAATTAGTTAGTTAGTTAGCAAGTTAGTTAGTTAGTTAGTTAGTTAGTTAGGTAATTAGTTAGTTAGTTAGCCAGTTAATTAGTTAGTTAGTTAGTTAGTTAGTTAGTTAGTTAGTAATTAGTAAAATTAGTTAGTTAGTTAGTTAGTCAGTTAGTTAGCCAGTTACTTAGTTAGTTAGTTAGTTAGTTAGTTAGTTAGTTAGTTAGTTAGTTAGTTAGTTAGTTAGTTAGTTAGTTAGCTAGATAGTTAGTTAGTTAGTTAGTT